AACTGTAATGCGGATATGTGATCGTTGGATGCAGGAGAGTATGACGGATCGACGTTATCGACTACATCCACCTCAATGCACCACTTCATGCATGGCAGTGATTGATCGCTCAGTCACATCACAAAACAATAGCACAGCACATTCAGTCTGTAACGCATCATCCAGTGTCTACGCGTACCATTCGAAGCTGTTTACAGCAGAGTGGTCTGTCCGCAAGACGTCCATTGCTTCGTCTACCCCTGACGCAGAACCATGGACGTCTCCGCAGCCAATGGTGCGATGAAAGAAGGATGCGGACAATAGATTGGAATGAAATTGTCTTTACTGACGAATCACGCTTCTGTCTGCAACACCACGATGGTCGCATTCGAGTCTGGAGACACCGTGGAGAAAGGATACTGAACAGCTGCGTTATGTAACGCCACAGTGGTCCTGCACCGGGTATTATGGTATGGGGCGGTATTGGATATCACTCTCGCAATCCTCTAGTACGCATTTCCGGTACTTTAAACAGCCAGCGCTACATCTCTGAGGTGCTGGAGCCAGTTGCCCTTCCTTACATTCAGAGCTTGCCCACAGCCATATTTCAACAGGATAATGCGCGAACACACGTGGCACGCATTGTCCAAGGGTTCTTAGTCAATCGCCAGATTGAATTACTTCCCTGGCCAGCTCGCTCTCCGGATCTTTCGCCGATAGGAAACATGTGATCCATGATTGCTCAACGATTGATCCAGATTATATCCCCAGCTGCCACACCAGATCAACTTTGGCAACGTGTGGAAGCTGCTTGGTTTGCTATACCCCAAGAACACATCCAAAGTCTCTTTGAATCAATGCCGAGGCGTGATCTCCAACACTGACGGCTACTCTGGCTACTGGTTTTGGCAGGAACCACACTTCACAGAAGTCTATAAATTTAATTATTTGATACTTGGCCAACATGTTATCTACAAAATAAATTTTTTTGGGATATCTCTTGTCTTTCTTGGTGTTGCAATTTGGGTAGCCAGCAGTGTATATAAAAACGCATGGGCCAAATTTGAAACTTTTATCTTGATAAAAGCGCTTTATTTAGATTTTCGAACAATTAGGCTAATATTTTCTCAAAATAACAAAATATCGAAATGAAACTTTTCGTTTTTTAAATCTCATATTATTAGGAAAACAGGGTACGATTATGAGACTTCTATTTTGGTAAAAAAGCATTTAGATTTACGGTCAATTAGGCTAATTACTCTGATAATAACAAAATATCTAAAATGAACACATATTTAATTTTTCTTTAGATCTGATACGGAATCTGATATTGAATGATCCGATTTTGTGCCTTTTTCTTGGTAAAAACGGGTTCTAGCATTACTGACAACTTTTTTTTCAATTATTTTTGTACTGAACACGTGACCCTAAATTGAAATTTCAGCCGTCTTAATTATGCCTTTTAAATTGTGATAGTATTAAGTAAGTAACAGATTATTGCGGTGACAGATTTAGCGTTATGTGAACAATTAAGTGACTAATTTTAAAAACCTCCGAGATTATATAAACATACTTAGCGATAAGTTCTGCAGAAAAATAACAGACTTTACTTATAGCCATTCATAAATAGTTTCTTCGACAGCAAACGGTGTGCGAATTCTTATTTATTAACCACAAAAATCGTGATAGCTATTTTCTATTGCTAATAACAGCAATCGATTCACCAGTTAACAACTTACCGTTTTGAGAAAATTGTCTTTTTACCATGAATGTTTCAAAATTGGCTATAATTTCTACAAATTTTTCTAAATGATAAACCATTTGTATACAATATGTGTGTCGTATGCTGATTAGAAAATACTGCGTTTCGCAAACAGCTGAAGGCATTTGTTAATCTTACTTGCATTGAGTCTTGTAGGGGTGTTACACAGAGCCAGATTTTCCGATTAGTCTAAAACAGATGCACCTTTATGTGTAGAACATATTATTCCTGCATTGATTTTTCTAAGACAAAAAATAATCGTAGACGCAATTTGGAATAATATAAACATTTGATTGTTCAATTAAAAAAAATCATCTTCAGCATACAGCAAAAATGTAAAATTACTAACAAAAAGTCATAAATCCGTAAATGACTTACCTACTCTTTAGTCTGTTAAAATGACCATAAAAAGAAATCCGTTAAAATTTACTGTTCTCCCATTTAAAAAAATTATCCTCATTACATAGAGTCAGATTTTCCAATTAGCTTACGATAGACACACCCTTAGATATTCAATTTATTGATTTTTCTAAGACAAAACATAATCGTAGGCGCCATTCGTAGTGAATAAAAATTTGATTGTTCAATAAATAAATAAACAATAATAAAAGAATTCATCAACAACAAATAGCCAAAATTTAAAATTACTAATAAGACGTCATAGAAGCATAGATTACTTACCCACTCTTTGTTAAAATGACCATAAAATGAAATCCGTGTAACTTTACTGTTTCCCCCTTTAAAATATGAAATCATGATACTGTTCTTTGTCACTATTATCGAGAAAAATAATTCAATGTCACGAAAAGTTTCTAAGAAATATTCAGTTGGGGTTATTTATTTTTCTCCCCTGGAAATTTTTTGTTACATTTCAGTGACTTAAATACCTTTACAATAGAGACGCCTCAACTTTATTGTGTTAAACTAATTAGTGCAGTGTTTCGTACGAAGGAAAAGAAATATTAATTTTTTTTCAACACTTATGAATGCAAAGAATCCTTGAAAGAATGGATTACCTATCAACTTGAGAATTTATTCATCGAATCGCGAGGGATGGACTTCAATATGAATGGATTTTAACTCAAAATTATTTTGATCTTTTGAAATCTTCTATTGTAAAAAAAAATTTAGTTATGCTATATTAAAATTTCCATTATATTTTGATTAAAAAATATTAAATTGTTATTACCGGAAGAAATTACAGATCAAATCGTAGTACAAATGTTTCAAATTAATTAAACTGTTTAAATTCAAAATATAGCATCATTTATAAATCTATTTCTCCGAAAAGTTACAGCTTAAATTTAAAATGCTTTGCATAATTTTACAAAATTACATTCGTAAAAAATATTTCTGATAAGAGAGTATACCGAAACTGACATATAATTCAGAAAAATTTCAGAGCAACAATTATTAGAATCATTATTTCTTTTGATGTTATTGCACTTAAATGCGAAATATCGTGAACCCCCTTTGAATGAAAGAAGAGTGGTATTACCCCTTTATATATAACGGTAAGTTATAGTGATCTATGGTAAAAAAGTAAAGTATAGCTTGAATTCATTGGTACTTGTCAGCTTGAAGAAAGCATTCACAATTTACACTCTCAAAAATGAAAGTCTTATTTTTGATGATTCGGCAATCATTGAGCTGTGTTTCGCTAATTTTGCGAATTATTTCGAAAAAAAACACGGAATCTCAAATATATGACGAAAATATTTCATCAATTAGAAACCTCATTGCAGTGCATTGGGGAGTATTGTTAACTGTAATGAAAACTGAACCATAGAAAATAAAGTGACAAAGCTTGTCGACCGGTCGGTATATTAGTCAAAGAGTTATCCTCGTAACAGGAAAATCCCGGGCTTGATTCCAGCTTCGGGCTTGTGTGTAATTCGTCTATCTGTTTTATCTGTCCTTCTTGTGCTGTTTGGGTGACATTGAATCGCTTATATAATGCTTACAATAAAGTGACTGTTAGTGGCATTAGGCGGCGAAAGTTTTTTTTAAAAAATTTGTAATGCCAAAATATTAGTTTAATTTTTACAAAATTCGTATCCTCAAAGAAGCGACGATTGTTATTTCGCGACCTCAGCGAAATGTTAGCTCAAAGCATATACCAGGAAACGTTTTAGTCAAGAACGACGAAGGTTTCGTGAAATTTTGAGCATCCATTTTTTGACTGTGAATATAAATTTCTTTTCAAAAGGAAAAGAAATCCATCATTCATACTCCATTTATTTGAAAATTTAGTTAACTTTTTTTATGATGCGTTGGTTCTTTTGTGTGTCTTATATTTAGGTTAAAATACGTTTTTTGTAGTTAGCTTACCACATGTTATGTATCAAACCAAACCAGTTTTAATGCATTTTTCATCCTAAAGTATTAAGTCATTTTAGGTCATTTATTTTATAGGTCATTTTATGTAACATGAAATATGAAAAGGATTACATGTGAAATTGAAAAGGATTATATGTGTGTCCATAAAAAATTGAAAGTAAAACTTTGCTTTGTTAAAATTGGAGCAATATTTTTTTTCCATGAGTAAATATTAACGGTATCTTTATGGGCTCACTTTATAATGCCTGTTTTTGCTCTGACAATAGAGTCTGCCACATTGAGTGTTGGCTATAATTTATGCAATGGAAAAGTAACCATGTTATTTTCTGTGAAGTGAGAGGTGAGAAAAAACAGTGAGAAATGGTTTTATGTCATTACATTTTTATGCTATACAGAGGAATAAAATTCTAAAGATATCACTAAAATAGACATCAAAGATATCATTGCAATATAGATTCATAAATATTGTGTAACATCAGTATTATGTAACAAGCAAATCTATATTTACTATTTGGTTAAATTGTCTGTGTATATCGAACTTTTCAAGTTAATACCAGAAAAATATATAATATGGACTAGAAATACAGGCTACAAGAAATACAAGCTAGCTTCAATCAAATTAAAAGCGTTAAAAAAAAGAGAAAACTTATCCAAACTCGGTCAACTTCTCAATATATTCCGTTTCCAATTTTTAACAGAAAACTTGCCCAGTTTTCAAAATAGAAAGTTTTGACCAGCCAACACCACATATTCTAAAATGTTAATAAAATACCAATTACTATAAGTATTATTAGATGAATCAATTTGCAACTACATTTTAAAGAGTTATTGCACTTTTAAAAAGTTACTATTAGTGTACTATAAGTATACATGATTTTTTATATCATAGAAAGTTCAAAATTAGTAACTTCCTGTTCAGGACGAATGTTTCATAGTAATATATTTACAGAACAGATGACAATTAGCGTCACAATATACACTAAACAATCCATTCATAATGGATGGTATTTGTTATAGATGATAGAAAAATAATAGAGTTGACAAAATGATAGTAATTATCTCCCTTCTCTCCAAATCTTCAACAAATCTTAATACTAGCATCGAACTGAGAATATCCTATTATTAATCAGAAGTGTTGAGTTCTACGCGCAATTCAACAGTATAAATCTGGTTTTAAATAAATGTGCAACTTTTCTTTCGAATTTCAAGACACATGTACTACTGTCTTTCATTTTGCGCAAAAATTATTATATTTCAAATAGATAGTAAATGTACTGCAAGCGAATTCGGTAGCAACGGTAAAAATCTTTACAACCCGCATACAACATTATCAACACTTATTAAACATGAATAAAAGCGGTAATTCTTGAGAAATACATTGCACGGTAAAGTCTTGCTCATTATATTTCGGACTAAAAATTTTTCTGAAATTTTTTAACCATATAGAATATTTGAGCTTGTATCTACATCCAATTTTATTGCCTTCGAATTCCTACGAAAGTAAAAAACTTCTTGAGGAAGTAATTTACAATTAGCCATAAAATCTCACATATTTCAAGCGTCGCAAAAAGTGACAATCCTAACCACAAACCAAGTTCACTACCGAGGTGACTGAAGATTTCCGATTTTTCATACTTAGGCTTTTGAAAAAACGACGTTAGTCTGAAATCGGAGAAATATATTTTTATCGCTGCCTGATTTCTCGCAATGCTATTTCTATTTTTCTTTAGCATATTGTATTTCCGAGAGTATCCAAATGCATTTGATGGCCATTTTGCATAGGAAAGTTTGATATCGTAATCAACAGAGTGGCAAGGAAATGGGCAGTCACAAGTAAATTTGTCTGTGGTTAGATCTTCCAAAACCTTATCAAGACAACAAACATCTGTGGCATTGGAAATATTGCAAGGTTTTGCATCATCTGCTTTCGGTATAGTTGGATCTGTGCATCCACATGCCAGTTTATTAAAATTTTGTATGCAACTTCTGACGCAGTCCTGTTGGTTGCAGAAAGGATTTTTATCATCAAGTTCATAATGAATACATTGATCTCTAAAAGGATATGGTAGTCTTACGATCTGCATTTTTGACATACTTATTGAAGTTTCAAATCCTGGACTAACTGTAATTCCTTCTTCCTCTATATTTGGTTCATCTTTTGGATGATGTATTAATATCTTTGCTCCAATTGCTTGCGTTTCTCTCATATATTGTTTAAGATGCAAATCCAAAACTAGCTCCAAACCTAAATTAAGTTTATTCATTGAAGACACAAAGGGATTCAAATCATTTTTCTTTCGTTTGTTAAAAGTATAGCAATTACCATGGCGGAAACTTTGCACGAAAGAAAATTCTTCAATAGAGCAAATTGCGCCATTTATCGAGCAGCTACGTATGAAGCTACTGGCTTGCTCTCCTATTGATTTACGCTTTTCTTTATCCAAAAGAGAATATCTTGTCAAAAATGGAAGTGCTGAGTCATCCGAGATGCTGCTATTTCCATACAAGAGAGCTTTGCATGATGTTATTGTATTTCTTTCAGACAGAGTGAATTTATAGTGCTTCGCTGCCTCCCCATTCATACAAAAGTGCATTGGAATATTTGGTTTCAAGCACAAAATATATGGTTTTTTCATTCGATTCAAATTGCAAACAGTTACAGCAGGAAATTCTAAGCTCCACTTATGTTCGACTTGAAAATCGACGATAACATCATATTGTGAATACACAACTATAAAGGGATAAATTTGGCGAATACAAATGAATAGCGCCATGAACAGAAAAATAATCCAAAAGGCTTTACGAAGTGTATTTTTTGATTTTCCAACTTGCGCTATGGCATAAACGGATGAGTTCCCGAAAACGACTGCAGGTTCAAGATTTTCCTGCTCTGTTCCTTTTTCAGGTGAAAGAATTTCTATTTTCTTCAAAAAGGAATTATATTTACGTTTCACAATGTCTTCAAATAAAGACACCTGAAAGAATACAAAGGATTAAAAACAATTAGTAAATTATTTGATTCTATCACCAACTCTTTCTGTCTTCCAGGTAAGATACAACAAACTTCTGTATTTAACTCTTGAACAACAATGTGATTGAATTTTCTATTTTTAGTTTCGTAAGAATTTTTTCTAATAGTTGTCCTTCCTAATATGTTTTAGTATTATATTATTACATAGTGTTAGTATTAAATTTTTTATTAATCCGAGAAATATCAGTAGGAGCCAAACTATATTTCAAAACTTAGATCTCTGTTAATACGCGGGATCCATAATAGACTTCAGCACATCTCGTCTTTTCGCAGTCGTCTAAAAACAAAAACAAAAAAGCAAAGCAAAAATTCTATTTTGTTATCTGCCTATTCCACTTTACATTCTATTCTATTACTTACTATGCGTAATGTTCTCCCTAGCCGTATTTTTACCACATTTTATCTTATTTCAAGAGATAGAACAGGCTGAAAAATATTTGATATTTAGAGCTTTGTTTTTACTCGGAGACCGCCATTTGCAATTGGTGTGAGAAAATTTTTATCTGTCTACGAGTTAGATTAGGATTTTATTTAAGTCTCTGTTTTAAAAATTTTTACAAATTTTGTTTTAAGAATTAAATTTTTTCTTCCATTTTATGGTAAAATTATTTTTTAATCATTGCATAAATGATAGTTTAGCTATTAACCTTCTGAACGTTTCGAAATAAATTAATATCACATTTGAATATCAAGAAGAAAGAACGGTTTTAGTCCTACTTCCTCAAAAATGCCCTAAATCGATTGGATTGCCATCTATTCTATTGCAGTTTGAGGATTACTTAGTTTTGGCAAATCAATAATTTGAAAAATTGGTTCTCTCCGAGAGTTATTACAGAGTGAAGATGGAAAAAACCCTTTTTTCCTTGTGCAAAATAGTTTTTTCTCCGTATCACAGTTTTTATGGACATAAACTGTTTTCCTCCCAGCGGTTTTCATTTATTTTGAGGAGAATTTGTTTTGTTTAAAGAATAGGTTTATATATGTAACTGATTTAAAAAATTTAAAAATATTAAAAATTTATTTTAAACAAATTTCTTTACACCTTAGTTATTCTTTCACAATCGAGTCATTTTGACTGCTTTTGGGCAATATAGGTATATACTAATTTTCTGCTTTTCTAGTGTTAGATATAATTTCGAAAAAAACTCTATCTGCTGCGGAAGCTTCTATTAATATCTTGTTGGTAAATTTTTGGTCAATTCGATTGAAAATCTTTGAAAATATTCTGTCTGTAAGTGAGAAAATGTGCTTTTGAAGGAAAAAATTACCTTTAGAATACGTTCAAGATTATTTCAGGTATGTGTCAACGCACGCACCCACGCGCGAAAGATTACATCGTTTCTTTTTTTCGCGAAATGTCTTTGTCGTTTGACTCTTAATTTATACTTTTAGGCTAAATGTTTTTTAAACATGCATGCTACCAAATACTGCTCAAAATAAAAGTTATAGGAATATGTTTTTCTTTAAATTTTACTGGGAAAAATTCATTTTCTATAAAGTAAATTAAACACTTAAAAAAAGAACTTACCATTTTTTTTCTTTTCACAGTTAAAAAACTTGAATACTTAAGTCATTTTAAGGCTTAGTCAGGTATACTTTAACGACAACAACTTGAAATACTGTCATCTGCTAGTGCATTACAATAGAGCTACACACTTTTTACTAAATCATTTAAGGAAATAATTAATTACCCTCTGCTTTTTTACGCTTTCGACCAAGGGAAAGCTGACTTTAACGCAAAAAAAATTTAAATCAATAATAAATTATCTAAATGTATTTTGTGAGAAAGAAATATGAAAGTCAACCGCAAGATTTTCGTAATTTATTTAATTAAGCTTAAAACTCTAACCGTTTTTATGATGTATGTAATAGATTAATGTATGCCATTGATGAAGGTGTCAAAATCGATGCCATCATATTGATTACCTTTAATATCTTTAATATAAAAATTTCATGGAAAGCATTCGTGTATAATATTGTCATAAACTTAGCAGGCTTTTAATGCTTGATTTTAAAAAAGAGAGTTATGAAAAATTTAATTACGTAAAAAAAGTTGGAAATGCGACTAACTATTTTTATTTCTATTACAGCTATGTTTATACTTTATTGCCTTTTTACACAGAAGCTAAGTCAATTCATCGGATATTATTTTGCAGTTGAATATGGAAGTGAAGTAAAATATTTTAAATAAACTACAATAAATTTTATTTAGTCTGAATGAAGCGAAATTACACTATGGAATAGTCTATATCACTCAGGTTAATAAACTGAAATATATAATGCTTGTGCTATGACGAGTTAACTTGTTTCCGGTTGACAAGGTGTTAAATTTGAGTTTTTTTTCTCAAAATAACAAATGAAATTTAATAGATAAATTTTAAAAAATATTAGGGAAAAAATATTAAGGAAACAGAAATTCTCGGCTGATCTTTGGAAATTAAGAGTTTATTCACCACAAGCCTTAAAATTTTGCAACTATTATTTTGCAATTACAGCACCAGCTATTATTTCGTAATTTAATATGAAGTAAACTAAAATATTTTGAATAAACTCCAATAAATTTTATTTAGTCTGAATGAAACAAAATTGCACTTTGGAATAATCTATATCACCAACCCTCTGGCGGTTTAGCAATGAGCGAAATTGAGAGAATGTTTCTCCCCAATACACTATTTCCCTATCTAATAACATGGAAAAACCGGTTATGCTATTTTGAGAAGAGTGCATGTTGAAACACCACTTTTTACGTACAGAACCGTCAGTGCGTTAATAAATTGAAGTAAGGAATGCGTGTGCACCGTTTAACAATGTGTTAAATTTGAGTTTTTTTCCGAAAATAATAAATGAAATTTGATAGATCTTTAAAAAAATTAAGGAGACTCTCGGCTGTGCTTTGGAAACTATGAGATTATTTTACACTAGTTTTAAAATTTTATGGCTATTATTTACTAATTTCAGCACCGGGTATCATTTTGTAATTGAATATGGAAGAAAAACATGTATTTTTTTTTCAAAATTTGCTTTGTTGTAAGAAAAATAAGGCAAAAAACTTTTGTTTTTTGTTTTATTTTTGTACAACATAAAAGTTAAACTTATCAGACTCTTAAGACTTTTAGACTTTTAAGAAGTGACAATACTTATTTCGACACCTCGGCGAAATGTTCGTTCAGAGCATATACTAGGAAACGGTTTAGTCAAAAATGACGAAGGTGTCGTGGAATTTGAGCATCCATTTATTTACAATGTATGTAAATTTCTTCTCAAGGGGAAAATAAATCTATCATTCATACTTTACTTATTTGAAAATTTAATTAACCTTTTCAGGATATTTAAGTTCTTTTGTGTGTCTTATATATTTAAATTAAAATAGGTTTTTAGTAGTTAGCTTGCTTATGTATCAAACCTAACCAGTTTAAAGCATTTTTTATTCGAAAGTACTACGTGATTTTAGGTCATTAATTTCTTAGGTCACTTTGTAACATAAAATAGGCAAAAGATTATGCAATGTAAATTGTGCGTTCATTAAAAGTTGAAAGTAAAACTTTGCTTTGTTAAAATTAGAGTAGCATTTTTTTCTATGAGTAAATACTAACGGTATCTTTTTGAGCTCACGTTATAATGCCTGTTTTTTCCCGGACAATAGAGTTTGCTATATTAAGTGTTGGCCGCAAGCTCTACGATACCATGTTATATACCAATATAAATTTCTTTATTATGAAATGTGGAAAGAAGTGAAAAATTTTAATAAAAAGTTATAAAAAATTAATTTCCGGGAAAAAAGTGTAAGAACCTTAATTAAAAGTTCACAACAGCCCAAATCTTTTGGATCTTCTTAGTTAGAAAAGTAACCATGTTATTTTCTGTGAAGTGAGAAGTGTGCCAAAAACAGTGTGAAATGTTTTTATGTCATTACATTTTTATGCTATATAGAGGAATAAAGTTTTAAAGATATCATTACAATAGTCATCAAACATATAACAATAGATATCGAAGATATCATTACAATAGAAATTAGAGATATCATTACAATAGACATAAAAAATTTCATTGCAATATTGATTCATGATTTCAAACAATGTTGTGCTACATCAGTACTATGTAACACGCACTTTTATATTTCCTATTTGGTAAAATTGTCTGTGCATATCGAACGCTAGTACATATGGCATCTAAAATAACCTAAAAAAGGGGAAGCCTGAAGATTCATCTTCAAAAAATGCTGATTAAGTGAAATGTAAGGAAACAGGGAAATAATATTAGTGCAAAATCAGAAAGGTTTAGTGCAAAAATTTCGAAAACAACGCACAGAAAGCTGGATATTTATAGTTTTATGTAAATTCTAGACTTTTTACTATGAAAAACCAAATTATGATTATTAATCTATTTTTTAGTCCTCCTTTTTTTAAGAAAATGCGTCGCAGTCCGTCATATTTAATATTTTGCGTTTTCCTTTACCACAAAATAATTTTGGAACAATAACTTCAGTTTAATATAAGAAACATGAACCGAAAAGTACTTCAGCGACTTCAATCAAAGCAAATAATGAAATTCCTAGCCACAATGACATTTCACTCCCAAAATAACTAAACAGCTCGGAAATTTCATATTTCAGCAATTGAGTGTAAACGTTTCGTGCCAAACTAGAATAATATATTTTCAAAAGAGCAAGTTTTCCCTTAAGTATTTGAGATTAGTCACTTTAATTTTCATATTACTTACTATGCGTAATGTTCTCCCTAGCCGTATTTTTCATAAATATTCATTTTTTCATAAATATTCATTCCTAAATATTTATAAATATTCATTCCAAACAGCAGTTGATATAAGCTTATCAAACAATGTCGAAGAACA